TACCTTACCTTAGTAAATGTACTTAGTTACTTCCCCCCTCTGCCCCCAGGTCTAAAGGGATGCCCGCCTCGCAGCAGGTCCGGTTGGGTCGGAAACGCCCCCTGCCCTCCTGTCCCAACCCTCTGTTCCTCCAGTGGCTCACCGAGCTGCGGGACGACGCCAAAGGGAAGGGCCTGAAGCTGCAGTACGTCTACCAGAAGGTAAGACATCAGAGTGAAGTACTCAGGTCTTGATATTTATTTACTGTTAGGTTTTACAGTTATAGGAAGTAGTAATACCCTGTTATAACCTTATTTCATGCAGTCTAACAAGTAAAGTCCTGCATTCAAAATGTATTTTAAACATAGTTACACCACTACCTCACAGGATATCTTTTACTCTTAATTTTGTGTGTGTGTGTGTGTGAGACTGTCACTGTGTGTGTGAGACTGTGTGTGTGTGTTACTGTGTGTGTCACTGTGTGTGTTACTGTGTGTGTGTGTGTCACTGTGTGTGTGTGTGTGTCACTGTGTAAAATAATTTCCCAACTAACAGACAAACATTATTTGACCAGGTTTTCTTTGATGGAGCAAAAACTGAATACAACATATATACATTTTCAGAATTGCCCGTTTTCTAGTAATACTACATTATAGTTTTTAATTGTAATATCTGATGCATTCATATGTTACGTACACACATATGGAAAGAAGAAACAGATCTTCATATATAAAATAAGTCATGCACTTATATGGCAAACCCCTCACAACCTTGAAAAAACATGAAAATAGTAAAAAATTAAATTTCTAAAAACACAGAACAGTTTTTTTTTACTAAAAAGTCAATTTCTTCATATAATGCGCTGTGGTTTGCATATGTTGTTTGTTAAGTTTCTTTCTAGACTTTTAACTATCAAGCAGTCTTGTTAAAGTCACAGGATAACACACATTATATTCTCTGCTTGCACACTTTGTCTTTCAGTCGGCTGTTTGTGCAGCCTGTATAAAAGCAACCCCAGGTACAACAGAAAGTGTACACAACAGACGTAGAGTTACTGCTTTAAGGTCACTGATATTTGTTTGTTTTGTAATTCACGTTTGCTTCTGTCTTGTTTTGCAGGCCATCAGCTCTCTGAACAAGTATCCATTGCCGCTTCAAAACGCCAGAGAGGCCAAAATCCTGCAGAGCTTTGGAGACGGCATCTGTAAAATACTGGATCAGAAACTGCAGCGATATCTCAGAGAGAACGGTGAGGAACAGAGGAGTGGGGGGGGGTTACATGAATTCACTTACAAGACAAGGTCATTAAAGAAAGACATCGATGCCTGCATTGAGAGAGGGGTGTAAATACAAGAGGGGGAAACTAGTGAGATTGGGAACTATTTAAGAGTGGGAGTCTCAACAAGCTAAAAGAGAATACATGGGTAGCTTTAAAAACAGTTATCTGCAGTACTAGGAGTTATACCCTAAGGCAAAGCTAGGAAACAAATACTCACTTACTTCAAGCTGCGATAAAATGTATCTCAAAAGCGTTTTTTGTGTGTTTGTAAAATAATAAATAATTTGTCTAAAAGTATTTTAAATGATAGCATGAGATTTCTTCTTGGATCTTAAAGACAAAGCAGTCTCAAAATGTCTTGAAGATATCATTTTACGTTCTAATCTGTCTTTGTTTGCTCCCTTTACTTTTCCTGTAGGTCCAGACGCTCCGATCCACTCTCTCCCTGAAGGAGCGCCCCCTGCTGGCCGACAGGACAACAACAGCCTGGATCCATCCAGAAAGGTAGTGTGTGTGTGTGTGTGTGTGTGTGTGTGTGTGTGTGTGTGTGTGTGTGTGTGTGTGTGTGTGTGTGTGTGTGTGTGTGTGTGTGTGTGTGTAGTGTGTGTGTGTGGTGTGTGTGTGTGTGTGTGTGTGTGTGTGTGTGTGTGTGTGTGTGTGTGTGTGTGTC